ACGCACCGCCTTTCACGCACCGCCTTCACTGCGTTTACCTTCAGAATCATTAGAAAGGCTAAAGAGCGACCGCAGGCTGATGTGTTTTAACCACACACACCTCTATACACACACACACACACACGGTTTAAACGCAGACTTTTGTTCCTCCATGTTTCGTTGTTATTGTTTCACTGAGCGGACCCGCACATTTTTTTCAAACGCTCCCTTTTTTGGTCCATCTGCGGCGATAATAGGTTTTGTGCGCTGTGATGATTCGGCTGTACCTTTAGTAATGAATATTAAATGTTGTGAGGAAATCTTTCCACCAATAATTCCAATAAGTAATCCAAAATGTATTCACTTCAGGTTTACGAAAGTAACTGTAATCAGATTACTCGTTTTTTTCAAATGTAACGCGAGCTGAATACAGTTACTTGATTTTTGTATTCTGATTACGTAACGCCGTTACATGTATTCCGTTACAACCCAACCCTGCATACATCTTATAAGAGTATAATACATATGTATAATATCAGTTAAAATACGTGCTTAAACATAGTTAACATTGCAGGAAAGCAATAAGACGTTAAGTACTTTGTCATCTATAGATACCCCCAAAGCTTTTTTCTTATTCAAAAGAAGACCTTAACCTAATGTATTATTTAATGTTTAAATAAAGCCTTATTAGTTTGTCTGTTTTGCACATCCTCCTATTAATAAAGCTTATATCTAAAATAAATAGTTTTTCATTACTTTATTATAGGTATGATATATATACAAAACATGTCCCTGAAGTGTTTGGCTCGAAATACCAAACAGATCATGCATTGCAGCATCCCATACACCTCTCTGTTTCAGCCCTGTTTCAAAAGTGCTGATTCTCTGTCTGTTACTTTAGACGAAAAATAAGGAGCCACTCCCCACGCCCCTCTGATGCCCCTTTCACACCGGCGCTTTTCCAGCTCCGTCAATTCAGACTGACACACATTCGGTGAACACATTCTGGGAACTGGGGATATGTATCAGCTGCTTGTGTGACAGTCAGACAGTGAATACTTTAGAGCCGTGTGAGCTAACCCGGAGCTAACGGGAGAATAAACTCCCGTGGAAGAGCAGCCAGCACTGCAGCGGTCGGTAAATGCCGCTGAAACACATTAATAAACAATGAACCACGGCACTCTGGAGAAAAGTATAAGGTTGGAGAAGTCGTTATTTAATTTAATCTGGCTTCGTATGATTAAAAGCAACATGATCATCGACCCGACGCAGTCCCCCCCCCCGTTGTTGTTGTGAGCTCCGTTGGGGAGAAAATCAGCGATGTAAACGGTGACGTCATGACGCAGCAGCGGCAGCTGGGCGGTGTGAACAGAGCGGGAGCTGAAAAGGGAAACCGGAGCTGAACCAGAAAAGCTCTAGCTAGGAGCTAGAAAGGGAAAAGCGCTGGTGTGAAAGCCGCATGAGAGAGAAAACAATAGGCGCGTTCACACCAAGTACTTCGCCGTCTTTAGTGCCGGCACTCAGAGCCCCGGCACTTATTACCCCAGGGCATTTAGTACAGATCGCGTTCACACCGGAGTACTTTTCCCTGAGGGAAGATTACGCAAATGAGCCGCTGACGTCACTTCGTCTTCTTCTGCTTTGGGTTTACTGGCAGGCCGCAAACAACTTCACGGCGTATACTGCCACCCGGAGTCCCCGGCCGGAAGTCCCCGGAGTTGGGGACTGGCTTCAGTAGAAGCTGCTGGGACTCCCAGCGGCTCTACAAAACATTTCAGAGTTGTACGGGGCGTGGTTTGCAATTCGCCCAGCCAATCGGAACTGGGGCACTTTTTTCCCCCAGGAAAGTACCATCTCTCAGCAGGCACTAAAAATGGGGGTAAAAGTTCCCGAGATTAAGTGCTCTTTTTGGTGTGAACGCGACATAAGGGGTACTAACGGAACTAAACGCGAAAAGTACGGTGAAAAGTACTCCGGTGTGAACACGGCTAATGGTGCTCTAGGAGGAGATTCAGGTGACAAGGTGGGGGGGTGGGGGGGTGTGGGGGGGTTACCTTGGTTGGTGATTGGCTAATGGTAGCACAAGCCAAAAAATCTTTATGACCTCATAAAGTGGACAAAATCTGATCAGCTCATTTTCAGACAGGTTTTTATATAAATGGATTAGGACAAAAAGTGAGCGAATCTTTTTTCCTGAAACTTTCAGAATCTCTTTACACAGAGGGGACACATGTTTATGTATAAAAAAACATGACAAAGTGGATTTTGCATAATAGGTGACCTTTAAGGTTTTTACATACAAGGAATTCACTTTGGTGGATTGGTGTAGTGATTAAAGTTGAAAGCTAATTTTGCAAACATTCAAACAAAGAAAACCATATACGATAAAAAATATATAAGAATATGTAAAATAAACAAATATAGAATGAAAAAAATACTATGAAAAAACCTGTAGAATATAAATAGTGTGGCCAGTTGGCATGAATGTCAGGGTGGAAGTAATTAGCATAGCCAACATGAGGTTGTTAAATTAGCAAAGCAGCAATTTGTATGTTTAGTGTGCAGGAAAGACTTGGGAGTAAGGAAGGGTAGCCAAATCAAGGATTCATCAAACACAAGAAGTGTTTATGAAACGTCTTGTCTGTGTAGATTCCGTTTAGTTACTGTGAGAAAAGCGAAAACTGGAATAAGCCAAGACATACCGAGCCAGATAAAAATATAACAAGAAAAATACAATTTCCAAGAGTAATGCCCACACGGTTTTAGAGAGCAACGTCAATCCCCCTGACCAAACTATATTACATTACAGCCTACCACCTGCACCTGAGCCACCCACCCACTCCATCACCATCCAGTTTGCTGTGGTTGGAGTACACTTGTACTGGAGCAGGACAGCGGCCATGTAACACAGCTGGCAGAGGGTGATGCCAGGCAAGCAGCTGTCCAAACACTGTCCAGTCCCTAGAACAGAGTCAGAGCAATCGAATAATGAGAGAAAAGTGTGTAAACATTACCCTCTCTTTGTTACCATGGAGGAAAAGCACACATAGAAAACAAAAAACCCTTTATGTGTCCGTTTAATTATCCAAAGCTATGGAAATATGGACGCTGAGTAGCCAATAACATCTCGCTGTTGTCATTGGGGTGATGTTGTTGGGTGTTTGCTCCATAAAATACAAAATGTGGACATACTCAGTCATATCATCCCATGATTTGTCATTCAATGATTTGTTGCTACGTTTTGAAGCCTCACAAGAAGTGACCATATTCAGATGAGATGGTGTAGATGGAGATGAGTTGGCGGAGTTTTGGCACAATTCTGTTGTTCATACCGACGTTAACCCTGTCTGTGCACACGGTGAACAACTCTGTCGTCCAGTGATCTAAGCCTCTGCCTCGTGTAAAGCTTCACAGGTCCGTCGGTTATGTCCTGCGCGGCTCGGCCAGCTCCAATTCAATCAGTCATAGAAAGTCCAAAGATTTTTTGCAGGGAGCGAAACGGCAACGTAGCTGCTTCATGTCTTTGTTTTTTTTTACATGTCTCGTAGTTTACTCCATTGAGTGTTGGCAAGAAACACGTGTAGATGAAATATGTGTTTTGTTTTGATGTTTTGAGGTACGCAAAGGCACGTAGTGACACAAATGACGTTCAAAATTCAGATTTGTGCTAATATGGCAAATACACCCAAATGACCCCAGAGGTGGTTTTTTTTTTTCTAAACCTCTCTAAAAAGGTCAAATTTCCCTTGTTTTGCTTCAATATTGATACAGGGTACTTATTATATGTTATAGTTTGGATTCCTAAAGCTTTTAGTCTACTATCCCATCATTCAAGGGTGGTTTTCACTATAAGTAATGGGTTTTTCTTTGGACGGAAACTATACAGTAATTTAATTTTTTTTACTATGTTAAATCTGAATTTACTTTATAAAAACATCTATATTGATTCTGACTCTTCTACATCCAACTCACAGGTGTATTATTGCTTTGAGAAAAAAGATTATTAATTTACCCCTTTTAGAAGTGAAGTTATAGTCATTTGTTCTGGGAATGTTATTTTCGAGCCTGAGACCTGAAAAACAGGCTCAGGGCTTAACAGGTTAACAGAGGTACAAAATTAAATGAGAAGTTCGGTCACTTTATCAGACTCCTATACAATCTATACTTACCCTAACCCTACAATATACTGCAGGTTTGCAACTTATGGAGTTTCAACTTCAGGCCATTATAAACATTTCAGGTTTGGAGGCAACTCTTTTCAGACCTGAAAGCTACATCCTCTTCTTTCATACTGTCAATGGTTCACACTCATATTTACTCTAGGAGTGAACAGAGTGCGGGTGCTAGTGGAGCCTCGCAGATGGGGCTGCTGCAAATGTGCTGCAAACTGGGCGGGATTGGCTACCACACACACAGACACACACAGATATACACACACTAGCAGACATTGTGACAAATATTGACATTGGAAAGAAAATAAGTCAAAATCTTTTACTTTCACTTTTCCTCTATCTCGTTTTAAGAATTACACGAACACATTTGCTCCTTTTTCTTTTTCCCAAAACTTCCCACATACACACACACTGAAACATACCCACACACTAAGGATTACAGTGTGGTATGGGCGGGAACCACAAGGATTATTACTGGAAGACAGTTACACAACCAGAACAGAAGTTCAAGAGCCAAAGGGAGTAGAGAATGGATGTGGCCAAAGTTGTGAAATACAAACTATGTCTGTCATTCACGATCCTGTCATTATTACAGTCCACTAACCCACGAGCCATAACTTTGTTTTCTTGTATCTTTCTTTGAAAATATTTGGGGAAGTCCAACTTTTTGTTTTCATCCGTCAGATGGAAGTGTATGGAGGTTTAACCAAATGAAACGCTTGGATGAAGGTCAAACAAGGTTTCCCTTGCATTGCTTGAGATGAGGCAGCACCACAAACTGTGTCCCAATGTCTGATACTGTATCAGGTTTCTAACTGAGTTCCATTCTTATTTGTTTTGTGTGCACAGGGGGGGAAGGGAGAACCTCACGTCTTCAAGGAAAAGACCTTTAAGAAGAAGCGACAGTGCAGCGTGTGCCGACAGAACGTGGACAACGTTGGGTCCTTCTGCAGAGGTAAATGTTGCAAGCATGTGTTGTCATCATTGTTACAGTTTGGTCTCTCACAACTGCAGTTAGTTACTCTGAAGGACCAAGAGGACCAATATTAGAAATTGATTTAGCGATTTTCATTGCCAAAATATTTCAGATTAATGATGGTATCCAAAATGATAATCATCCACATTTGCTTTAAACCTGCATGAATCACATTACCTTTCATTTTTTTTATTCTTGCACCACATATAATACACGCTATAAAATCCAATGGAAATTATAGTTGAAACTTCGAATTGAATCCAATTTACTATATACTAATTTTAACATCTATTTCTTTATTTCCTTTTAGTATGCAAGACAGCAACCCACAGAAAGTGTGAGGCAAAGGTAAGAATCCACCCACTTGAGTTTTTTGTATTTAACCCAATTGTATTCCTTAATTACCCACTATACAGTTCATTTCCATGTGGGTTTCTGTAAAGTTGCACATATTGCACATTTTCTTGGTGGACCACCTATGGCCTCCAAATTACAAGAGGAATCAGTTGTGATAGAGTTGTAGACAGCATTGAAAGTGATGTTGCTTGCATTTACCCAAATGTGTAATCTCTTGAATACAAAGTCAATGCCAGATTTTGGCATTGACTTGTTGGAGGGTCAGTTCTCATGACATCCCTAGTGTGAACACAACCTGCTCTGTAAGAGGTAAAATGTGCAGTCATCGTCAACCATGACCCTACTAATTCAAGGTTAAGCCGAAATGCTGACCCTCTAATCTTTCTTAATCAGGCTGACCACTGGGAGGTATCCATCCTTGGTCATATTTTCATGTGACTGCCCTAGACTGTCGGAATAACATTTTAATGGTTATCCAAACTGCTTAGTACATTGTTCTGCTAGTGAGGTGTGAAAATACATGACAGTTGCTCTTTGAGGGCAGAAGTCTCGAGATCTCTGCCAACAGAAGACCGCTCAGTTGCATTCCTCGGAAAGAGCTGCAAGCCTCGCTCGCACCCACAGTGCTGCCTCTGTGAAAGGAACATTGATGGAGCGGATGGTGTAATGAATAGACAGAGGGATGCAGAGGGGGGGAATGCTAGCCATGGCCAAAGTGATGAAGAGGGGGTAGGAACAGGGAGCCTTGGCTGGCAGCGGGCGAGAAAGAAAGCTAAGGGCAAAGGCATGTGGCAAAGACAAGCCTCATTCCTCAAGCGTTGCCCCATCCTAACGTCTATTATCTGAAGGGAGCCATGAGGATGAGTTCAGGGATGAAAGGATGGCACAAGCAATAAAAAAGTAAAACCAGGGTTTTGCTAGACTTGTGATGTAGGTTTGTATTCTTGCTTGATAAGGTAAGGTAGATATTTCTGTTTTGCAATGCAACACATGTATTGCTTTTTATGTGTCATTTGACGCCTCAGCAACATGAGAAGATTTGAGCAAATACTTCTGAAGTCAGGGGACATAAAGAGTGTCACAGTGTGTCTCATTTCTTCTGAATTGATCAACCAGAACGTCTGGGCTGGGACGCAACTGTAGAAATCTGATTGGAATCAATCCAACACCAAACATGGTTTGAATCCAATTTAGCAAAACATTTGCATTTTAACCATTTTTTTGGCTGTACAGTAATGTGGATACAGTCTGGATAGGACAACAACCAGTTTGGCTGGTGGTCTGAACAGGACCTAAAAGGCTACAACCATGTCATCAGAACATCTTATTTTTCAAAATGTTATCTTCTTTTGGAAAGATAAAACCTGAAAATGGTTAAAGCGAGCTGATTGTGAAAATTAATTTGGATAAACGTAATGCCACTGATTACAGAAAGCAACAGGGTGTTGTTTATTAGCCTTTCTGTGACTGTCTCATGGTGTTTATGGTTGTTGATTGGTTGTTAGATTGTGATATCCATCGTTGCTTCCCAGGAAGGGAGAGGTCAGATAAGGCAGGGCGGGGGAGGATCTGGCTGATGTGTTCATCCCCGTTGTTATCTAACCTCGTGTGAAGGGGGGAGTCTAAGGAAGGATGGATTTGGGCTGGCATCAATCTGTTACACTTAGAATTGTAAAATGCATAATAAATAGATCTGAATAACAGATCCCAGCTGTCTGACTGCCTAGCTAATTAGCTTTAGCCCTCCTGCTACAGAGAATGACCACATTAGTGCTGTTAAAAGTATTTTTAGTTCAAGGTGTTGCCTCACTTGCACCTGATTTACATTTGGGAGCTATTACCTATAACCTTGCATATGAATGAACCACCTCTACCCTCCTCAATGAGCATATTAACCCCGTGTGTGTGCAGTCACACATCTGGATATCAGCCCTCTGTCATCTGTAAGCCATCCTGTTCTCCCCAGGCTTCTATTTACAAATCCACCGCTGTCTTTACTGTAAAGCTGGTGACGAATCTTTCATTATACAACACTGTCTAGAATCCTGTCAGCTCCGGTTTTCTGGAAAAACCCTCCTACAGAGAAAAATGTGTGATTATTGGTGGTCTTGTTTTGTAAATGTTATGTTTTTGTGTTCCCTTCTTTAACTATGTTCCCTTCTCATTGCCCCCATGTCAATAGCCCCCAGCTGACCCATCTCTGTTCTATAAAAAAACACAGACTCTCTCTCTTGCACTCAAACAAACAGAAGGCCCTAAACTGTTTTTATTTCAGCATGTGCTTCTCTAAGAGAACAGTTCCTCTTATCTTTCTAACCCAAGTGGAAAATCTAGTCAACAGGGAATTTGGGGGAGAGAGGGAGAATGCCCGGGGCCAGGGGCAAAGAGATGTGGGGAAGGCCGGGAAAGATACAGAGAGGGGGAATGTGGAACAGTGGGAGAAGAAGGGATTAAAATGAGTGAAATACAGTCCGTGACAAGTTGACTGGCCTGTCTGTCTAATTAGGGAAGAAGAGGCCTTTCTGCTAGGTGGGGGGGGGGAACCGTTACTGACTCCATGTACTGTATACGCTGATCAGCTGACTGTTGCCCTTGAATAGGTTTGATTAGGTTTGCTTTGAGTTTCATCACATTTTATTAAAAGCTTAAAATTCATCCAGATTCGGAGTTTATTCAACATCGTCCACTGTGCTAACAGAAAGGTTTTAGGAAAATATCCAATTGCAATTTCTGCCATTGATTTTGCAAGTGCAATTTAAGTTGTGATGTTGTTTTCTATAAATTGGTTAGGAATTGTCAAAATCGTCAAACCACCGTTTCTGTGCTCCGTTATAACATACGTTTAAAATACCAGCACTCAACAAGTAATCTCTTGCAGTATTTGAGAACAAAGATTTCTGCTTGAGCCAGTCTTTGTTGGATACATTAAAAATCTGTTCAGATCAAGCGAAAGGTAAATCAACGGTATTTAGTTTCAGGGCGCTTTTCATTACACTGTCAACCACTAAAGCCTGTTGGCAAAAACCGGCCCTTTTAGTGGACGGACATTGCACAATGCTGCACTCTCTCAATACCGAGCAATTTCCAAAAGGACCATTCTCCATTAGTCACTAAAACACAGGTTGAAAAACACCAAAGTTACCCTTCTAAAGGCCCCTACACACCAGGCCGATATCGGCCGTCTTGCGTTGTTTGGCGACAACGGGTTCCTTGTCGCCCAAAGTCAATTTGGTGTGTCCCGAACCCTCGGCCGTGACACGCCTTATTTGGCCTTTCACGGTCGACACCCGGCCGATTCAACATGTTGAATCGGCCGGGTGTCGGACACAAGCTATCGGGCCAAGAAACCACTCTGATCAGCTGTTCAGCTAGCAAATGAGAAGCGTAACGGAAGTGAGGGACGTAAACAAACGATTAAAAAAGGTACAGGACAGCAGCTAAACCCCAGCAGGTGATACTTAAAAGACATCAAACATAGCACTTAAATGTCCTCTCTTACCTCCCACTAGGGATGGGTACCGAGCCCCGGTATTAAACGGGCCCCGGGGCTGAATTATTAAAGACCGTGGTACCGTTAAGCTCCGACGTTATCGGTCTTTTTATCGGTACTGGAGACATCTAAAAAATATGTCATGTGTATTATTGCTACACAAACATTATATTGCAGTTTTAGTGTCGCCAACTCCGTTTCTAATACGCAAAAAGACTGCAAAATGCGTCATTTTTAGTATTTTCGATCTCTCCAATCCAGACGAGAGATCTCTCTCCCCCGCCTGTGTGCGAGGGGGCGGGGCAGTTTACACACACGCAGCTGCTACATGCAGCAACACACACACACGGAGGAGATGGCGGAGAGAACGCGCTCCGAGGTGTGGTTAAACTTTACCCGTCTCGCTCGTTGCCTAAAGTGCAATAAGAGTTTAGCATGTCAGGGCGGTAACACGAGCAATTTGTCTAAACATCTTGCAAAAGTGCACCACGTTCAGACGGAGAAATGCACCGGGTTCGACTGTCTCTCTAGTAGCTCTGTAGCCCCATCCACGAGTAACGTTTCCACATCAGGTATATTATGTATGCTAGCAGCAACACACGGAGCTAACTCAATGATTCAAACATGGGTTAATGATTACAGGGAACTGAGTTATTTAGTTTGTTAAAGTTTCAGCCATTCTGTTCACAGTTCTGTCATCAGATTATTTAATATGATTTGTTAAAACGTTGTTGTTTCTGTTGATGTTAAATATTATGTATTTCATTTAAATAAAAAGCAATGATAGTTTTGTTCACAATTTGTTAATTTTCATTTAATTGTTTATTTGAATAGGGACAATGCACATTAATGAACACTTTAGACAAATAATGCTTCAAGTGTAAATATGCCGGATTTTAGCTTTGAGCTAATTTCCATCCGTAGTCCCTGACATACAACATATAGTTAGTTTACCTAATTTTTCTCTCCAAAAGAACCGATAAGAGTACCGTTAAAAGACCGGACCGATAAGCGGTATCGATAAAAGTAGTAGTACCGTTAAAACCTTAACGATACCCATCCCTACCTCCCACACATAGCAGGGACATCTCTGATATCGGCGGGAGCGTCCCCGGCTGTCCTCTGCTGAGAGCTCCGTGATTTGTTTGGTCAAGTCCGGTTTTTCATCTCATCGTAAATTTAGCAAGAAGTGGCCATTATTACATTGCTGACTCAATAAACTACACACCCGCCAGAACACTGCGATCATCAGATGCAGGTCTATTAACTGTGATTTTATAGTATGTCTGCACTTTATGTGCTCATTTCATCATTCATGTATTTTTATATTCTAAAACATGTTTTCGATGGACGAGAGTGAAAATGGAACGCACACACTATTTGTTTGTTTATATCAGTCTGTTCTTCTTCTCTGTCTTCCGGTTGTTGCCTCTTTTGAATGACGAATACACACTACCGCCGCCTGCTGGTAAGGAGAGTTATTGCCACTCACGCATGCGCA